CGCAACCCCAGCCCTCCCCCGCGACCACCGCCTCACCTACGCCTGCCACCTTCGCCCTTCCTCCGCCCCCTGCTTCGCCCGCTCATCCCTCCCCGCCGCACCTCCAGCCCTCGCCCGCGACCGACGCCTTGTCTTTGCATCCCACCCTGCCGGCGTCTCCTCGCCCTGCTTCCCCCGCCCAGACCTCCCCTGCCCAGCTCCCGCCCCTCACTCAGCCATGGGTGACTGTTGCCGCCGCACAACCGCGTAAATCTCCCCGTTCGACAGCTGTCCCTACATATGCGCCGAACGCCGCTCTGCCTATCACCTCCGCTCACAACGTCAATTCAACTTCCACCTCCACCTCACCCTCTACTTCTCCCTTTGTCGTGTCTCGCCCCCTCTGTGGGATAACTCCTCTCCGCCCTGGGTTGGGTGAGAGGCGGAGGCTTTGGCGAAGGAGCACGCGGCGCGGACGCGACGCGCTAATTGAACCGATCGGACGAGCTCGCGAAAAGGGAGTGGCTCACTGGCCGGTTACGCGCAGTCGCCCCGTGGTGCGTGAACGGGAGCGACCGGTAACGGGTTTGAAGCCAGCGCGCGCGACAGACAACCAAAAACGGACGTACGTAGGCGCAAAAGGGACGGGGGCGAGCTTGCCCCAGTTTACTGGTGGGGACGGGTGTCAGGTCTTAACCCCTCAGAGGGACGCGTCGGACACCTGTCCCAGTATACAGTAGTACAGTATCTGCCGCCTAGTGCGTGCCGGGTACTGTACACAATTAAAAAGCTAGCGCCATAATTACTACTAACGCACGGACGCTGCTACTACACGTGTGCATTACTGTACACGCGTGTTGCTTACAGACTACCGCACGGACGACACGTGTGCTACTGTACACGTGCGCCACGCCACGGCCGGTTGGTCAACGTGCGCGCTCCCTACACGTGGGCACACCCGCCCACGTGTGCACCGTGCACGGCCGCACGGTTAATAACCTCCCCGCGCGCGCGACGGTCGTTATACTACACCCTCCAACTGCCACGTGTCCCAAACCGCCCCGATTCTTCTATCCTGACTCTCGCAGCCGCCCGTGCGGCAGTTGCCGCACCTACTTCAGTCTCGAGTGCGACGCTCGCGGCGGCCCACTCCCTCGTCCGCACCGTAGGCGCACCGCTTCGTCTCGACCCTCGCACCGGAGAGCGTGTTGCTCCCCCTCCCGCCGTCACCGCCTACGCCATCGCTCCGGATGCCAGCCTCGCAGCCTTCACCTCCTTTAATGCTCCGCAGTCTGCCTTACGCCATGGCGCTCACCTCGCTGACGCCGTTCTCCCTCCCCACGTCATTATCCCCGGCGTTGGCCGGTGGACATACGTCTACTTCCCAGCTTCTCACACTACACTTCTCGCCCGCATCCTCGCCCACCTCTGCCTAGTCTACGAAGACCTCTCCGTCAACAATGCTCCCCTACCTCTCACCGCTTCCGCTCTTGACTCTTCCGCCGCAGCCGGTGTTTCATGCCGCCTACGTCGCGAGGCACTTCGCCTCCTCAACCGCCGCACTACCACCTCCGTTCCCCTCCCAGTCCGCCAAGCTCTGGCTGTCACCCTACAGGCGCATGCAAGCGCCATCCTCCCTACTCCGCCGACCCGCCTCGCTCCACCCGGCCATTCTACTCGTGTGGCTCGCGCTCTTCCCTCCGGCCCGGTGGGCGCCCTTGCCTCTCAGCTGCCGGTCCTCGGCCCTACCTCACCGCTGCCGGTCCCCGCCCCTATTTCACCGCCGACTGCCCCCGCTCCCGCTGCTTCTATTGACTCCCCCCAAGCCACCGTGGCAGCCACTACGGTCGCCTCTACTCGGGCCCCGGCGCTCACGTCGCCTTGCGCTCCACCCACGGCATCTGCCAGTCCTCATGCCGGCCGGCCCCCGTTTCCGCCGTTTGTGAAGTCTGCTCCCACAGTCCCCACCGTGGCTCCCACTCTTCCTGCTCCGGCCCCTGTCCCGCCCCCCTCCGCCCAGAGACCCTCCTCACCTTCCACTATGACCAGTCCTCCGCACAAGCCCGCTGCTACCCCAAGCCGCCCCACAGCCTCCCAGACACCCATCGCCTTCTCTGCCACTTTATCACAACCCACTCTCCCCCGCAAGCGGCCGCTCTCCTTCTCCGCCGAGCATCCCCCACCTCACCGCCCTCTCGTTAATTCTGACCCAGCGCACGCGGACGTCGACGGCATCTAAATCCCGCCACAGTGAGCCCATCAACCAATTCCCTGCTGGTGAGCCCCTCACCCTCCGCTACGACGCCTCAGCCTGCGCCTCCTCGCCCCACCTTGCCCCTTCCTACTGTCCAGGAACTCCTCCTCGGCCCTCTACGCTCGTCCCACATCTACTCCGCAATCCCCGTCCCCTGCCTCCACAGCCTGACACTCCTTCTCATCAAGCTCGTCCGGGCTGCCGCCGCCACCACCGACCCTCAAGAGACACACCGCGCCTTCCTTCGCCTGCACATACTTCCCACGGCCGTCCTCCGCCGCTCGTTCCGTGGCGAGCAAGGCTGGCGAACAAGGAAAGGGCAGCACCTCGCCCTTCGAGATCGCATTCGCCGAGCGATTTCCGGCCTCTACTGGCACCAGTTGTGGCACGATGCCCTCGCTGCTCGACAAGCTGAGCTGGACTGGGACGTAAGACACAGCAGACAGCGCCAGCGCTCTGACCCCGCCCGTCGCCGCATCAGCCGCGCCATGGGCATGGCCGCCGACACCCAATATGGACGAGCAATGCGCGCATTGACAGACAAATCGCTCCCCGACCTCCAAGAAGAGACCACGCGCACTTCCCTAACCGCCCTTCATCCTACACCCGCTGTGCCCACACAAGCACTCTCCCGAACCGACCTCCCTCCGACTCCAGACATCACCGAAGGCCAAGTACTATGTGCTGCTCGATCTCTCAATCCCACGTCCGCAGCAGGGCCATATCGCCTCTCGCCCCGCCTGCTGCAGCTGCTCGCTCGCACGGCCGTCACTCCCGAGGCCAGAGTTACCGGTCTTTCGGCCCTCACCCGCCTGGTGCGGCGACTCGCCCAAGGCGATATCCCGGATAGCACAGCCCCCCTCCTGGCTGCGTCAACCCTGATCCCCCTCCAGCCGCGCCCCGGGAAGCTCCGCCCCATTGCCGTGGGGCAGGCACTTCGCCGCCTCGTAACAAAGGTCCTTCTCCCCGCCGCAATTTATGATACCCGCGATCGTCTGGCCCCGGAACAGCTCGCCAATGGCGTCCCATCGGGAATGGACGCCATTGTCC